CTTTGGTAAAAATCAAAATCCCAATAAGTGTATCTAAATTGGTTTGTGTGAAAGTTATAGCATCTACAAACTATGGTATGGTTGTTTGGGGTCGTTGTCCTGACCTTAAGTTGGTGTTTTCTACATGTGATGGGGTAAACCTATTCTTGATCCTTTTGCTTATATTCCCTCCTTAGCAGAAGTCAGAATGCTATCCTTTGCTATAGTACCTGTCTGGTATTAAAAGCTATAATTTTTCCAACGTTCTACAGGTTAACCCTAAACTTTTTCTTTCTTATATTTTCACATGGATAGTCAATTTAGTTTGTGATTAGTATAACTTTTAATCTAGGTGCATCAATTTGCATTTATCTAAACCTTAATTGCTATTTCATTGCCTAGCTTTCTAATTTGTCTAAGTGCTTCCATAATGTGATAAAAACATTTATTGGTTTTTTTATAACACTGTAATGTCATCAAAATTATAATTTAAAAATGGCAAAGATTAGTTTGTAAAGTTTAGTTTTCAAAAGCAACCATCAACACTTTTGTATTTTAATTTCAAAGTACATATTATAATTGTTTTTTTATTGTCTTATTAAATATTTCCATTATTGTATATTTTTCTTCTGCTTTCCTTTTGCTCCTCTTTCTTTCCTAGAAATGGTAGAGACCCATCAAAGATGTAAAGATATAAACAAATGAGCTCAGGACATTTTCTAATTTAATCTATTTAATCTCCAGACATTCACCTCATATGTATCAATAGGTTAAAAACAGCCAGGAAATGTTTTGACATCAATACAGGAAATCTGTCATAAACTTGAACAAATGTCTCAGAAGCCTCTGGTGGAATATACCATTTCTCACTCACAGGCTACATTTCCAGGATAATGAAATATAATCACAGAAAAAAGTCTTGAGCTTTCTTGGAAACTTGTTCAACAAGGTTATAAAATCAAAACTTTTGACCTGCTAAAAATCTTGACAAAATACAATTACTAATTAATGGATCGCCTGCACCTAACACATACACATACCAGTGTGTTTAATCAGTAATAAATGCCAAAATGTGCTGTGATGCACTTTTAAATATTAACAAATGCTATATACCACCTATATATGCATGTGCTTTTTTATCAATAGGTGCAATAAAAGATATTAAAGTGTGCTGTGAACATCCATTGTGGAAATCAGTGTCCAAAAGCATAACACACAAAAATGTCTATATATGCTTCTTCAAAAATTCATGATCACTTGGCATATGATATTCTGTACTTCTTATCATTAAAATCTGTGCACCCCCATTGGTTGTTCTTTCACCTTAAATATATGACCAAACCATTAAGTGAGGTCATATAACGCTTGTGTCCCTTTAATTGGACCAAATATGGATGGAGTGGTGTCCTGCTGAATGGGATCCTTTTCACTTCATCAATTGGCTCTCCTCCCACGATGGTTAGTATAAAAAAAATGATCAGATCATAGTGTATTATATTCTTAAATAACATTTTATTAAAGGAAAGTAGTACACTCACATCACATCACACACATGATATCTGTATAAAGATCGCTTTGTGCAAAAAGTATATCCTGCTGAGTTTTTGGCAGTGGTGAAAATCCTATGTGTACCAGCTAGTGTCAGTATGGAACTATCGAGCGTCATGACATCAAAGCCCCTCCCCTACGCGTTACGCCACAGGTCACGTGGCTTCATCAGGGCGAATGATGATTGGACGACACGCCGCTCATATTTTTTTGTATAGGGACACTACGGCGCCATTTTTTTGAAGCCCTGCATGTGTTAGCATGAGATTCCATGCTCATCCGCAATACATACAAAATGTAATACTGTGTACATCCAGATCTTCAAACATACATTTATCTGTCTGCTCAATCATATAATGGCAAGCTAATTGCACAGACCATGTAACATTATATGCATTCTAAGCATGCCGTAAAGGCACCATTTTGTGGAAGTCCTCATGATTAATACCATAGTACATTACCATGAGACTTTAGCAGTATGAACTATTGACTCTATATTATTACTAATGATTGTTACTAACATCATGTTATCTATTATGCTTAGTCATATTATTAGGAGTATATATATATATATATATATATATATATATATATATATGTGCATCCTCTAGATTTATTTTGTTAATTTTAATATTAATATCATACCACCTTTGCTGGGATGTCAGCAATATTAACCACTACTGCTTTACCAACATGACCTAATAAGGTGGTGGAGCATTATTAGGGTAATGTATTTACTCAGGCTATGCTCTCAGTATAAAAATAATAATAATACTTTTGCTGTACAGATATATAAAAATGGAATTAAAATACCTTTTAAAAAATAAAATAAGATATAAATATATTATATGATGGTTAAAATAAAAAATAAATTATTTATTAAAAATTATTTAACAGATAAATAAAAAAAAAGGAAAAATGTGTTTTATATCTATTATTATTATTTAGGAAATATTTTAAATATAAACACTGGGACTGAGTGAGATATCCACTATAAATTACTAATAAAACATGTTAAATCAAATTCCTTATTGAGGCCCATAGGGGCCAGAGAGTTAGTTTCATATATCCATTTTGATTCCTTTTTGCTAAGTTCCCTGGCTTTGTTGTCTCCTCTCTAGTGACTAGTGTGTTTCTCTATACCCCACAATTCTAATTGGCTAGCATCTTTATTATGTGTTGTGCGAAAATGTAGCAATAGATGATGATATTTATACCCCCCTATTAATACTGTAAACGTGTGTCCTTTATTCTTTCCTTCATAGCTCTTTTCGTTCTGCCTATATATATATAAGATTACAGGGGCATTTCAAGGCATACACTACTCCTTTTGTCTCACACGATATAAACTGTTTAATACTGTATTCCTTCCCTGTTCTTGGGTTATGAAATGATGATCTCCTCTTGAGGTTATTTTTAACCTGACTACAACTATAACATCTCCCACATGCATAAAATCCTGCACCTTGGAAGAAAGTGGGGTGATGAGTGGTATTAGGGGGTTCTATAACATTTTTAACCAACTTATCCCTTAAATTGGGGGCTTTTTTATATATAAATTTGGGACATTGTGGTATTAAAGTTTTCAAGTGTTTGTCATGTTTCAGAATATTCCAATATTTGTTTATAATGCGCTCTACCACTTTATATTGTGTGTTGTATTCCAGAATGACCGAAATGTTAATCTCTTCCTTGTCAATGGTTGACTTATCCTGTAGTAGAGAGGTTCTATGAATTCCTCTTACTTTTACTCTTTCTTTTTCAATATCTACTGATTGGTATCCTTTTTGAATAAATATATTTTCTATAACCTGACTTTGTGCTTCATACTCAGACATTTTTGTGCAGTTTCTTTTAATGCCCATAAATTGCCTTCTTGGGATATTTGTGAGCCAAGGTTTAAAGTGACAACTATTTGCAGGGATATATCCATTTCTGTCAGTATTCTTAAAAAATGTTTTTGTACAGAAACCATTAGTGTCCTTAGTGACCTCTATATCCAAGTAGTGTATGCTATGGTTACTGATGTCTCAGCTCGATTTAATATCCTTATTAGTTTAATTCAAGAATTCCAAAAATGCTTGAAATGAATAATTTTTTCTCCCTGCGATATAATTATTAAATCATCTATGAATCTTCTGTATAACATGATTTCCTTTTTGTTACTATTAAATATCATCTGTTCTTCCCATTGGGCCATGAATAGATTTGCTATACTGGGAGAAAACTTGGCTCCATAGCTACTCCCATTGTTTGTAAGTAGTACTCTCCTTTGTACCAGAAGTAGCTGTGTTTAAGGCAGAATGCTAGACATTTGATGATAAACTTCTGATGTTTATGAGTAAGTACAGAATATTTCTTTAAAGCCCATTTCACTGCTTGTATTGCTCCTTCATGGTGTATATTGGTATAGAGTGCTGAGACATCAGCTGTACCTTATGATAGTATTATGGGTAGGTTCTAAATTTTGAATAAGTTGTAAAATATGTTTAGTGTATTTTAGAAATGCAGGAGCTTTTGTCACCAGTGGTTGCAGATAACAAACTACATATTCCTTAGTTCTCACTGAAAGAGACTCTATGACGTTAATAATAGGTCTACCTGGAGGTTGTTTGCAATCCTTATGGATTTTTGGAACCATGTATATCACTGGTATTTTACAAGCAGAGTGAACCAAATACACCATTCTGCGACATGTCTTTGCTAAAAAAAAAAAACCCAATACGTGTAAATACCGTATTTTTCACTCCATAAGACGCACTTTCCCCCCCCCCCCCCCAAAAAGGGGGGAAAATGTCAGTGCGTCTTATGAAGCGAATATAAAGTGGCCGGTCCGGTATTTCTGCCGCCACCCATGTCAGAATACCAGGCTGGCTGCTCAGCTGTTCTCTCCTGCAGGGCCTTACCTGTTTCCTCGCTCCAGCGCTGCACAGTCTTCCCGCGCTGGCTTCTGTGACAGCCGGGTGCCCACTGCGCATGTGCTGCGCTTTGTGAATGATCCGGTATCTTCTAGGACACATGACAGGTCGCAGAAGGCGCCGGGCCATTCACAAAGCGCAGCGCTTCTCGCGCATGCTCAGTGGGCACCCGGCTGTCACAGAAGCCGGCCGGGGAAGAAGGAAGGAAGGACAACTCCGCGGAAGTGGGAGCGGGTACCTGTCAAATTCAGGTACCCGCTCCCCCTCCCTCCCCAAAAGGTCAGCAGTCTCTGGTCATCCCCTGCACTGTCTGCAGTCTCTGGTCATCCCCTGCACTGTCTGCAGTCTCTGGTCATCCCCTGCACTGTCTGCAGTCTCTGGTCATTCCCTGCACTGTCTGCAGTCCTCTGGTCATCCCCTGCACTGTCTGCAGTCTCTGGTCATCCCCTGCACTGTCTGCAGTCTCTGGTCATCCCCCTTGCACTGTCTGCAGTCTCTGGTCATCACCTATACTGTCTGCAGTCTCTCTGGTCATTCCCCTGCACTGTCTGCAGTCTCTGGTCATTCCCTGCACTGTCTGCAGTCTCTGGTCATCCCCTGTACTGTGTCCGCAGTCTCTGGTCATCCCCTGCACTGTGTCGGCAGTCTCTGGTCATCCCCTGCACTGTGTCCGCAGTCTCTGGTCATCCCCTGCACTGTGTCCGCAGTCTCTGGTCATCCCCTGCACTGTGTCCGCAGTCTCTGGTCATCTCCTGTACTATGTTTGCAGTCACTCTGGTCATCTCCTGTACTGTGTGTCTTATGGAGCGAAAAATACGGTAATTGGTTTACATGAAAGTTATAGCGTTTACAAATGGCGGGAAAGATACTGGTATTTTTAATTTTTTTTATACTAATAATGACAGGTCCCAGAAGGCGCCGGGCCATTCACAAAGCGCAGCGCTTCTCGCGCATGCGCAGTGGGCACCCGGCTGTCACAGAAGCCGGCCGGGGAAGAAGGAAGGAAGGACAACTCCGCGAAGTGGGAGCGGGTACCTGTCAAATTCAGGTACCCGCTCCCCCTCCCTCCCCAAAGGTCAGCAGTCTCTGGCCATCCCCCTGCACTGTGTCCCCTGCACTGTGTCGCAGTCTCTGGTCATCCCCTGCACTGTGTCCGCAGTCCTCTGGTCATCCCCTGCACTGTGTCCGCAGTCTCTGGTCATCCCCTGCACTGTGTCTGCAGTCTCTGGTCATCCCCCTGCACTGTGTCCGCAGTCTCTGGTCATCCCCTGCACTGTGTCCACAGTCTCTGGTCATCTCCTGTACTATGTCCGCAGTCTCTGGTCATCTCCTGTACTGTGTCCGCAGTCTCTGGTCATCCCCTGTACTGTGTCTGCAGTCCATTGGTTCAGAATATTTTTTTTTCTTGTTTTCCCCCTAAAACCTAGGTGCGTCTTATGGTCAGGTGCGTCTTATGGAGCGAAAAATACGGTAATTGGTTTACTTGAAAGTTATAGCGTTTACAAATGGCGAGAAAGATACTGGATTTTTTATTTTTTTTATACTAATAATGGCGGGCGATCAGCAACTTGTGGCGGCGATCAGTGACTTATGGCAGCGATCAGCGCCTTATGGCAGGACTGCGGGGGACTCTGCTGCGGATATTCTGACACTGGGGGGGAACTGACTTGGGGTCACTGGGGCGCTGACATCCCCAGTGACACCAATAACAGTGATCAGATACAAAAAAACAAACAAAACACTGACACTGTACTATGGCACTGGGAAGGAAGGGGTAACTTTTTTATTCAATGAAAGGGTTAACTGTGTGAGGGGAGTGTTTTTTCTAGGGGGTGGGGGTGGTGTGGTACTGCAAGGGAACCATGCTGATCCGGAGAGATAAACTCCTCTCTTTGGCATCAGCATGTCAGGAGCTGACAGGGAATTGACAGAAAGCAGAGGTGCAAGTGTAAACACTGCAGCCGTGCTCTCTGTCAGTGATTGCCGCTAATCACCAGGACATGGCCGGTAATGACCGACCATGACCAGGCAACTGACACCCACGGCCGCGATCGGCGGCACAGGTAGGGCGGTGGGTGGCGCGCCTTGCGCGCGCCCCCTACCTGTTTTGCAAAAGCACATTTTAAAACATGGTTTTTTGCACAGCCGTGCCGTCCTGCCACCGTTATTTCTAGAGTGACTGGGCGGCAAGAAGTTAACTAATTGTTCCAGTTCTTTTTTATGTTTTAGTGGGGTTTCTATTCAATAAGGTGTATGTGTTCCTATCATTCAGCATTTTACCCTTAGTTAATTCATAATGTTCTTTGGACAGTAGAACTATCCCCCCCACCTTTATCTGCACGGCATATGACAATGCCCTTCCTTTTTTCCAACGCTTTTAATACCTTTATGAATGCTAGCTGAGTCCCTGTGAGTTTTGATGGGGAGGTGATCTAAATCTTCTATTACTAACTTTTTAAAACATGTCAATGTATATATGTATCTATTGTCTGTGGGTATTGGATTAAATATTGATTTTATTACAGGCCTACAATAAAAAAACAACATATTTCCATGCAAAAAAATGAGTACTGGTTTGAGCACAGAAATACTGACTTAATCATATCGCTAGGGAGGCTAAGGTGAAAGCACAACCGGTGGGGGTGCACGAATATTAATGATAAAAAAGAACAGAATATTATATGCTGAGTGAACACGAATTTGTGAAGAAGCATATATGGACATTTTTGTGTGTTATGCCTTATGGGGGCACTGATTTCCACAGTACTTATTTATTTAATATCTTTTTATTGCACTTATTGATAAAAGGATAAAGGATGCATATATAAGTGGTATACAGCATTTGTAAGTATCATTTTTAAAAGTGGAGCGCAGCACATTTTGGGCAATTTTTGTTCTTTCCACACACTCGTCCTGCAGTCACACTTCATACAGGGAAAAATCTAACCATCTATATAGAAATAAGAAAAAACGGAATACAAGGCAGAAAGACCACTAAGTGCTCCAATGGCAAGTTCAGCTGGGCTATATGCTTACTAATCAGCTGAGATCCAGGCAGAAATTCCTTTCACTCCTGAGACACTGCCAGTGTACATGTGGAGGGACATGATTACTATCACCACCTCATGAGTGGCATGTAGGGCCCAGGATGCCTCTATTTTGACTCATACTATCAGTAGGGGGAATGTTCTGATATTTGGCATATTGGTATAATGATTTTTTTTTAGCCTAAAGTAGCTATTGCTTCCATAGATGCAAAAGTACTGTTTTTCTACCCAAAAAAAACAAAATTGTATATCTTCCATTTTGCCTTTGGTCCTGACAAAGCATACTGTATATGTGTGCAAAAGGCACTGAACATCTGGTATTAAGTGAAATGGCGTTAAAACGTTTTATATGATGATTGTAGATTCTATGTATCTTTTTTCGTAAATGATAATGTTTTTGATAATTTTTCTGCTGTAACTAAAGTGTTGTAAACTACAAATCCCATTTAAAATCATTCTAAATTGTACTTACTTGGGGATAAAGGCACTCAGATTAGTAAATATCCACTCTTCTATATTTATATTTATTGACTTAAAATTGGTCAGTGTCAAGACAGTACATGAGCACTTGTATAGGCCATAAATAAAAAGAACAAGAGAGGTTTTATCTTGTAACAAAAATTAGAATTATCTTAAGACACAATATACACAAATATTGTTTGTGGCTGGACAGTTTGTAAGAACCTTAGTTAGGCAGCAAAATAAGAGGAAGAAACAAGGAAGGTTTTATGTTGAAATAAACATAAATGGGTATAATTTGAGAATCAACAGCCACAAATACTGTACAGTGGTTGGACAGTATGTAAGCAGCTCGCTTAGATCGAATTATAAGTAAGAGAGATAAGACAAGTTTAATTCTGAAAATCAACATTGTATTATTTCAGAGACAGTATTCACAAATATTATACAGTGGCTAGACATTATGTAAGCAGCTTGGCTAGGTTGCCATTAAAGAGGAATAGAAAAGGCAGGTTTTATCATGAAAGGTCATTAAGGTTTATTATTTGAGACTATAGCCACAAATATTATACAGTGGCTGAACAGTATGCAAACAGCTTAGTAAAGCCACAATGTAAAAGTTGTATCTCACCATAAGGCAGATGTTACCTTAAAATAGCCATTAGAGTGCTTTGAGAGTCAATAGCCATAAATATTTTTAAGTGCTGGAGTACCAAAATAGGCTGCAAACTTTGAGGCACAACCCAGGATTTTTCCTGCAGCATACATAAGAAATTTGGTAGCTGAGGTTCTACTGCAGAAACATTGTGTGGCACCTTTATAGGGCTGTAAACATTGAGGCGCAATGCAGAATTTACCCTGTAGCAAACACTAGAAATTTAGCAGCTGAAGTTCAGCTGTGGAAACATTATGTGGCACCATTACAGAAGAGAAGCACCAGAATAGGTCAGAAGAGGTTGCAGAAGCTGGTAATGATGGTAGGTATGATTTTTTTTTTTTACATCAGCTGTCAAATAAAAGCTTAGTCTGTGGTAACATCAGCCAGGGTTTTAAAATCAGTGGTATCCAAGACTGGTTCATTTTAATGAAAATTAGATTGTCCACACTGTTAGGGGAGAGACAGATATACCTCCGGGTAACAAAACCACTTGCTGTGATAAAGGTCCTCTCACTCAGCACACTGGCTGGAGGACAAGCCAGCAACTCAAGTGCCAAATGTGCAAAGTCCAACCAGTGGTTTAAAAGAAGGCAACTGCTCATGTATTGTCCTGATACTGACCAATTTCTTGTCAATAAATATAAATACAGAATATAAATGTCTCATTTCAGAGATCAAAGGAATGGAAGCACACTGATCATTAAAGGGGATTCCTCCATCATCAACAAATGCTTCAAATAGGTTCCTACACAGCACTTTCTCAAAATGCAACATTTTTTGACTCTTTCTTGAATGGGGGTAGTAGACCAGTCATTTTACCCTTGTATCAGGGATCTAACAGGGTAGCCACCCAATACAAATACTCCTGTATAACTGAATGTTAAGCCATGGAGTTTTGCATTTTTTTGGCAGCTAAAAACTTATAATTCCTCTCATTAAATGTCATTTTAAGAGGGGTTTTTGGAGGGGTAATAAATTTTGTGGCAGTTTGAAATTTCTGTTCTTCTCAAAAGTTGTTTTGTGATGTATAGGAGTTCAGGAGAATATTTTGAACTGCAAACCTGCAAGTTTTAAATATCTTAGTAGATATTTTCACTTTGTGGGTAAGAGTTTGCTTTTCACTGTGGAACTTTTTTGCATATTTTTAGTTGTTTCTGGCTAAGAGACATTTATTTCTTTAATTGAAGTGCAATTTAAAAGATTTTAGAGGAAGTTTTTTTGAGGGACAGTGATTTAAAAAAGAAAATCAGCTGAGCAGTCCCTTGTCAGTTTGTATTTTTTTTCAAAAGTTCTCTTGTGGTGTAGGTCTGGAGCACGTGTTCAGCTACAAAACATTTTAAATTGTCTGGCAGTCTTCTTCCCTTTCTGACAAGATCTTTTCAAAATCCATACTAACGGAAATTGAAATTGTGGATTTTTATTTCTTTCTTTGCAATTTTCTCACCATTTTTAGATAATAACCAAAAATGATTTTTATCAAAATGCCATTCAAATTGATGTAGAGGATGTTTATAAGTTTTTGAATTAGTGAATAACCACCCCAGTACTGGACACTTTCAACCCCTTCCAGCCCAGGACAATTACTCAGTCATGCAACACTGTATGCAAATCAAATTGTTATCTCGTTTTGAGACAGATAGAGCTTTCTTTTGTTGGTATTAAACAAAAAACTTGTTTTTCTTCATTTTATATATACAAATTTTGCAAATAAATTAATCTTTATTCATAAATTTAGGCCAAATAATTGTCTGCTACATTTCTTTGGTAAAAAAAAATCCAAATCAATGTATATTATTTAATATGTAGGAAAGTTATAGAGTTCTCAAACTATGATATATACACTCATCAGCTACTTTATTAGATACACCTATTCAATTGCTTGGTAACACAAAGAGCTAATCAGCTGATCACATGGCAGAAACTCTATGCATTTAGGCATGTAGATGTGATCGACCACTTGCTGAAGTTCAAATTAGGCATCATATTGGGGAAGAAAGGGGATTTAAGTGACTTTGAACATGGCATAGTTGTTGGTGCCAAATGGGCCGGTCTGAGTATTTTCTGCTGATTTATTGGGGATTTTCACAGACAACCATCTCTAGGGTTTACAGAGAATGGTCCGAAAAAGAGAAAATAGCCAGTGAGTGGCAGTTGTGTGGACGAAAATGCCTTGTTGATGTAAGAAGTCAGAAGAGAATGGGACAGACTGGTTGCTGCTACATTCAGATGGTAGGGTCAGAATTTGGCATAAACAACATGAAAGCATGGATCCATCCTGCCTTGTACAAACGGTTCAGGCTGGTGGTTTAATGGTGTGGGGGATATTGTCAGGGCAGAAACGCTGGAATGGGCAGGCAGGCCTATGGTACGGTCACGCTGCGACTGACGACAGCCACTACCCACAGACCAGAGTCCCTCAGGGCGCGGAGTCTAAGCCCCAGGATACCCTTCACCAGGGCCCCTGATGGTGGGATGGACTTGACGCAGCCTGAGACCAGGTCGCGGCCCCCGAGTGACCCCAGCTGCGATAAGGACTGCCGCCAATGGCGTACAGCTGGTGGGAGCTAGATGGGACACGAATAGAGTAGTCAGACAAGCCGGGTCAATAACAACGGAGCAGACAGTAACTAGGCGGTAGGCAAAGAATACTCAGGTCACGGGCCGGGTTTCAGCAACGGGAGGTCAGGTAAAGGGTTAATGCAGAGAGTAGTCTTGTCCAAGCCGAGTCGTTTACCAGGAGAGCACAATGGGAATAACACAAGAGCTTTGCAACAGGGCAACATACAGGACACAAGTGCAGAGAGCACACTTGCAGACAGCAGGTTTAAAATGTGCTCAAACCCACCCCCTTCTGAGAAGGAGACCGCAGAAAGCCTGAAGGCATAAAGGTTCCCACCATGCTTTGCAGAAAACCAAGATGGATGCCAGCTCATGGAGATGCACAAGCTCTGAAGAAAGGTAGGACCTTGACAGATATTTTCTTAGAACTAGTAAGGTGTAATTCCAAAATACGTTACGTCCCTAACCCCAGACACTACTAAACAACTAGTTCACTCCCTTATTATCTCACGTCTGGACTACTGCAACTCCCTTCTCACCGGCCTACCCCAACACAGGCTATCCCCGCTTCAGTCTATCCTGAACTCAGTATCCAGACTCATCCACCTTACCAACCACTCTGCTTCTGCCACCCCCCTCTGTCATTCCCTCCACTGGCTTCTGATTGCCCAACACATTAAATTCAAACTACTAACATATATAGAGATGAGCGAATCGAACTTGGCGAAGTGGAATTCGTTTCGAATATTAGGAAAAATTCGATTCGCACCGAATCCGAAAAATTAGCAAACTCATCGGATGCACGAAATCGAATTTTTCCCGATCGGCCCGATTTTCATCCCTTCTACAGCCGGCAAAAAAGTGTCCCTGCAGAGAGCTCCGCTATTTCTGACAGTTCTCTGACAGTTCCTTCACATTTACAGCGGTTGAAACATTGTATCTATTTGTTTCCATTTAGGATACAGATGTTTTTTATTCGGAACACAAATAGATACAATGTTTCAACCGCTGTAAATGTGAAGGAACTGTCAGAGAACTGTCAGAAATAGCGGAGCTCTCTGCAGATACACTTTTTTGCTGTACTGGAATTCTTCTTATTTTCATTCTTCTTCTTCTTCTTATTTTCATTCTTCTTCTTCTTCTTCTTATTTTCATTCTTCTTCTCCTTCTTCTTCTCCTTCTTCTTTTCATTCTTCTTCTCCTTCTTCTTTTCATTCTTCTTCTCCTTCTTCTTCTCCTTTTCTTCTTTTTCTTCTTCTTCTTTTTTCCTTCTTTTTCTTCTTCTTTTTTTCTTTTTTATTTCTTCCTTTTTTCTTTCTTCCTTCTTTCCTTCTTTCTTCTTCTTTTTTTTTTCCTTCTTCTTCTCCTTCTTTTTTTATTTTTTTTCTTCTTTTTCTTCTTCTTCTTCTTTTATTTTTTATTATTATTTTTATTATTTTTTTCCTTTTTTTCTTCTTCTTCTTCTTATTATTTTTATCTTCTTTATTATTTTTTTTTTTCTTTTTCTTTCTTCTTTTTCCGTTTTTTCCTTCTTTTTCCTTTTTTTTTTTTTTCTTCTTTTCTTCTTCTTCTTCTTCTTTTTTCCTTTTACTTCTTCCTTCTTTTTTTTCTTTTTTTTTCAATTCTTCCTCTTCTTATTTTTCTTCTTTTCTCTTTTTTTTCCTTCTTTTCTTCTTTTTTTCTTTCTTTTCTTTTTTCTTATTTTTTTCTTTCTTTTTCCTCCTTCTTCTTTTTCTTCTTCTTTTTCTTATTTTCCTTCCTTTTCTTCTTTTCTTTTTTTTTTTTCTTATTTTTTCTTCTTCTTCTTCTTCTTCTTCTTCTTTTTTTTTCTTTTCCCTTCTTCTTCCTTTTTTTTTTTTCTTTTCTTTTCCTTCTTTTCTTCTTTTTTTTTTTCCTTCTTCTTTCTTTTTTTCTTCTTCTTCTTTTTTTCTTCTTTTCTTTTTTCCTTCTTCTTCTTTTTTCTTCTCTTTCTCTTCTTCTTTTTTCTTCTTTTATTATTATTTCTTCTTTATTTTTTTTTTTATTTTTTTTTTCTTCTTTTCTTCTTCTTCTTTTCTTTTATTTTCCTTTTTTTTTTCTTTTCTTTTTCTCTCCTTCTTCTTCTTCTTTTTTTTTTTCCTTTTTCTTCTTTCTTCTTTTATCTTCTTTCTCTTTTCTTCTCTTTTCTTTTTCCTTCTTCTTTTATTTTTTTCTTCTTTTTTTCTTCTTCTTTCTTCTTCTTCTTCTTATTCTCTATTTCCTTCTTCTTCTTCTTCTTTCTTTTCCTTCTTCTTTTCTTCTTCTTCTTCTTCTTATTTTCCTTCTTCTTCTTCTTTTTTTTCCTTCTTCTTATTTTTTCCTTCTTCTTCTTTTCCTTTTTTCTTTTTTTCTTATTTTTCCTTCTTCTTTTTATTTTCCTTCTTCTTCTTCTTCTTCTTCTTCTTCTTTTCTTCTCTTCCTTCTTCTTATTTTCTTCTTCATTTTTTCTTTTCTCTTCTTCTTCATCTTCTTCTTCTTCTTCTCATCTTCTTCTTTCTTCTTCTTCTTCTTCATCTTCTTCTTCTTTCTTCTTCATCATCATTTCTTCTTCTTTCTTCTTCTTCTTCTTCTTCTTCTTCTTCTTCTTCATCATCTTCTCTTCATCTTCTTCATCCTCATCTTCTTCTTCCTCATCCTCTCTCATTTTTTCTTCTTCTTTTTTTCTTCTTTCATCTCTTCTTCTTCTTCTTCTCTCTTTCATCTTCTCTTCTTCTTCTTCTTCTTCATCATCTTTCATCATCTTCATCTTCTTCATTTTCTTCTTCATCTT